AGGACTGGCGGTGACGCCTGGTGCCGCCTGTGAACTGAAACATGGGGAAGGCTTGATTTCTTTTATTTGTGCTACACTATAACGGTGCTCAAACCATTGGTCTGAAAAAAATTAAGGTCTGGCATGGGCTGGGTGTGCTGGTCCCGCGGGAGGTGTCAGGTCCCTCTATCAGGGTCACGCTGCCGCCGGGCATCCAGCGGGGAAATGTGTTGGGGATGGGAAACCGAAAGCAGCAATAATTCGGGGGAGACCTCTCAGAAGTGCTTATGGTGCTATCATTTGACGTTTTCAGCCTCTTGTTGGTGTTGGCAGGCCAGCACGGAACTCTGGACTTTTATTATTATTTTTATATGTATGAAGTGAGCATCTAGCATTCCACCAGCACAGCCGACCGTTTGGGTTAGAGGGGGGTTCGTTTTTTTTTCTTAAGGGACTTGAAGCTGGCAACTCATTTCTGTAATTTGCATTAAAATGTTTACACACTGAAGCTAAATAGCCGTAATTTAAGAAACGGAGACAGGACAGAGGAGTAAGGTATTGGCTTCAGTTACCCCCACGAGTCCAGGGCTTGGGGTGTGTGCGAAGGCTCAGTCCCCTTGTTACCCTGCTGCTGGCTGTGTGTGCCAAAGCCATTGCCTGCGGGGGGTGTCAGGGACACCGAGGCACAGAAGAAATGACACAGTAGTTTTGGAGTCCAACCCTGCATTCCCTTGCATGTATTTGTGATGGAAAGGGTAATCCGCTCATCCCCTTCGCTGCGTCCTTCCTCGTCAGCGGCAACGCACTTACACATCGGATCTCTGTATGCAGTGTAACGGTTGCTATAAGGTGTTTCTCTGTGTTCTTACAAGCTGAAAACCTTTTTTTCTGCTTAGGTAGATTCACCCCTCTTAAGGCTGGCAGATTCTTTTAACTAGAATATCCAATATTGTACAATGAGCGGCACTTGACCGGCACGGCCCTTACGGACCGCTCCAGGAGGGCCGTGTGTTAATCCCTCCCTGCTTTAGGGAGGATTTGCTGTCAGGTTGGTCCCCAGAGGAGCATTTAGATAGGAGTTCCTTTCTGTGTTAAACACTTCACGCTATGGAGGATGCCCAAAAACTGGGAGACAGTGAAGTGAATCCTACTTGCGCTGAGGGCAGAAAGGCTGGAGCCCACCCCCAGCCACGGCCACGCGGCCCAGGGCGTGTTTCTTCTGCACCCGGTCAGGCCCACGACAGGGGAAATCCCTGCGTGTAATCTGTATGTAAAATGCAAGCCATGGCTTCACCATTTGTGTTTTATTCCTTTCCCACGCGGTGTAAATTTTTTACGTTCCAAGAGCCTGTGTCCAGTCCCGTTTTCCTTCTCTCCAGCACCATCCATCCCTCGCTCCCCTCAGGTTCTGCCAAGGGGTAACCGCTACACAGGTTGGGGTTTAATAGCTCCCAAGTGTGTTAAATTAAACAGTTACTGAAGGAAGTGGTGGGATTTCAGGTTTTCTCTTCCCCTTGGGAAATTCTAAGGGATTTTTCACTGAAAATGCAGTGGTGATGGTTTAGGTACAGGCAGCAGTGGGGGCATGATCGGTGTCCTAGCTACAGCAGAGCGGGGCAATCCGTTTGCATCTGGAAAACCAGTTCAAGCTGCCGTTTGCAGCTGGGATTCCTGTGATTCTGCGAGAGCTCTGCACACCCTGTGCTGTGTGCTGAGGAGGATTTTGCTGAGCATCCCTGGCAGCAAGGTGCCCGCCAGCGCCTTGGTGTCCCTGCAGCCCTGACTAGGTTGGGTCTCTGCAGCGCAGAACTGCAGCAACCAGGGGAAAACCTCGCTGTTCCAACCCAGAAACGTTTCTCTTTGAAGAAGGGCCAGCCCCGCCGCATCCGAAAGCTCGGGGTTTGCAGAGCAGAGGCGGGAGACCCGGCTCCACGATGACTTTCAGCTGTCACAACACGGCGGCGGGGCTGGGGCTTCCTTCTGGGAAAGGGCTGACCAG